ATATACCCACTAAAACGTACGCTAATAGTGCTCCAAAGTGCTTGTTTTGCGTAACCAATTGTACCAAAAATCTGCTGTATGTAGCAACATCGATGAGCTTCACCTAAAAATGATCAACATGTCGTTACACCCTAACACGTAGTGACCTATATCAAGCAGCAATCGATATAAAAGTAATAAAATGCTGTCATACGATGCGAAACTGAGCAACGTTCACGTTCCAGCTATGTATTTTTGGCAGTAAAAATGTCAATCTTATTCAACTTATTAATGTATAGATGACGTCGAATATTTTTATTGTCAGGTACACCGATGGCCGTGCCACACTTGTGTATTTTAATGGGAATCCTTGTACTAACAGTTCGGATTCAAACCGAAGATGGAGTAGCGCGATAGAGTTTGTCTGCGACTCGGAAACGACTTCTGGTGCACCCGAACTTGCGTCGGTTGACACGGACGTGTGCATCATTCGTTTCGAGTGGAAGACCGCTGCGGCTTGTATACCGGACGTCGTTACTGGGGATGAAAATGTCGACTACAGCGAACTGCAAGAAAGCTGTCATTACACGAGTGGTCAGTGCTCCGCTCTCAACAGATGCATTATATGTAGAATATATACTAATGTGCATAGAATTGTCCCATTGTGTACTCAAAGCATTGCGTGCATACGTTTGGGCACAATATTTAGCTATGCCAGCAAGACAAACACTCATCCCAGTACAATAACAACCGTTCAACCGTCGTAACATTTATTTAGGCGATTTCCACATGGATTTATCAGCTCTCGATCAGAAGACGGGCTCATGGTTCGTAATGGATGACGGCGAACACTTTGAATTCAATCTTTACGTCGAGGTCTGCTCTCCAGTGCAACGACTCGGCCATCTCACGAGATGCCCAGTGCGTTCGGCAGTCTGTGGCCTGCCGCGAGACGATTCAACGCCAGTTAGCTTTGGCCAGTATTCGACAGTTATGTTATTGCAGAATGCTAGCTCGCCCGTAGGAGTGCTTGAGTTCAGTGATGGTGACCAGTGTAAAAGCAAGCCGGAAAAACAATACAAGACCCTTATTCATTTAGCCTGTACCCCTGGGCAGCATGGAGCTAGCCCTAGGTTCTTTGCCTTCGATAAGGAGAGATGCGAACTACATCTCGAGTGGCATACATCTGTTGCCTGTCCCCAAGGTAAGAGATCTCATATTATAAAGCTAGACCGAGCTATGAATGTTCGATACGGTGTCTCCATAGATTTCTTGTGATCAATTATAAATAGCCAGAATTCCTTATCAGTGATTTCAGGATTGCATATGTATGCGCAGGTAATTTAGTATTTTAACTAGACAAAGTATTCGGATTAATTATTCACGCCTCTATGTCAATTTATAACAAGTGAATTTTACCATTACATCTCACCTTTTCAACTCATCTCGTTCTGTAAATTTCTAGCTTCACAAAAAGTAGTGCGTACTTTTGATGCTGGATGTTGCTGTTTTCATTGTATCGTTTTCTATTCAGCGGTTGCTGGAGCTGGACTTAAGCATTCATAATTTCTATAACATGCTAGCGCAGAGCCTCTGTTCCAAATTAAAAAGGAGCGTTGCAGCACCTGGTGCCAGCTAGATGTACATAATGAACTTTGATAGCAATACTTATAGAATTTTTGAGGCCCTACTTCGACATTTTTATTTGTTCAATAACCACATCGTCTTCTTTCAGTGTCTCTAACCAACACGACATGTATGGTGGAGGACCTGACTCACGGATTCCGTATTGATCTGACCCCACTTGCCAGATATGGCGTTCAGCATATCTCTTCGGGCGATTTCGAATATGATATCGCTGTATGCGGTCCCTTGCCAAGCACATACTCGTGCGGTAGTGACTCGAACGCCGCCGTATGTCGACGCAACTTAACGGACAAGGGCGATGTCACACCGCTGGGAGCAGCATCAAGCGATCTGATCTACAACGGCGGTATGATCACTGTCGTCTATGCGGACAAAGCCGAATCATCGAATATTGCCTTCCAATGCGATTTTGATGCGGGCATCGGTAAGCCACAGGTGCTTTCGAGCCAGCCAGGAAACACCGTGTTCAACTGGGCGACATCGTTCGCCTGCCCTGCAATGAACGCCCACTATCAGAGTTGTGTGGTGCAAGCCACCGACAAAAGTGGGCATTTATACGATCTGTCGCGACTAACGAGGGTTCGACCCAATCGCGACTGGACGTTTTTGACTACTGACATAGGAGAGCTGAAGCTTCCTCACCGCTTTTACGTGTCCCTTTGCCGACCGCTATACCAGCCTCCGGCACGATGTAACCCGCATGCAGCAGTTTGTGTTGAGACAATCTACCCGAATGGCACAACAAAATTCGTTGACGCTGGGCACGTAGTTGACCCGCCATCGGCGAACAGCCGAGGTGAGCTAACGCTCACCTACAGCAATGGAGCGCCGTGCATTCGACGTGGACAACCTTCCACGATGCGAACCACTATTCACTTTCAATGCGACGATGAAGTCGTACCTAGTGGAGAGTATCTCCGGTATATAAGTAAGAAAAACAGCGCACTCGTTATTATTTTTATATTTGTTGTCGTCGTCGTCTAAATTGTCAATCGCATTCGATGGATAAATTCAGTGTCTACATATGGATGTGTATACTTCTATTTAGGTGAAAGAGTAAAGCAGTTAATCGCGTGTGTCTCACTCGTGCAAAATCCTCAGAACTAAAGCGGTAGAGGGAAGGGCACTTACTAACACTATTGCGTTCCGCTACATAACAGAGTTTATGACGTGCTATGGGGCACATCTCAGGGCTTCATTGTACACCTGGCTATATACAGGGTGCATTTCGTTTGTAAGCGCTGGGCAGGATTACATTAGCATATGGCAATGTAGTCATCACAGTATTTAATTTATTACTTTTGAAATAGAAAATATTAGTTGGCATGGCTAAACGCCTTATATAACAAAATAATCGGTAAGTTGGCCTGTGTAGAGAAACTTTTTCTGGCCATGAAGCCTCTCAGGGGATGGCTCTATCAAGCACTTCATTGTGGTGTAACAAAGATCCAGTTCAGTGCTTCTCATTTACATCAGATATCGGTTTTTGGTCTTCTGGCTTTGCCCCTTAGATAAGCCCGACCAGTGCGAGTACCTGCTTCTGTGGACGACCGAAGCCGCGTGTCCCATTCGGCATCAGCCGGTGAAGGACGAGTGCGCCATTGTCGATCGACTCACTGGTGATCTCTTCAATATTTCCCATATGCGAGCGGATACATTTTACCGTAAGGGCGACTACGAATTCAACATCTGTGGCCCTATCAGGAATAGCACAAACTGTCTGGGCGAAAACATCAGCGTTTGTCGTGTTACAACTGACCAAACGGGACGCACCAAAGGAGTACCACTTACAGGTGCAACCGGCTATCAGCTAGACTTTGTCGGCGTCGGCAGTCTTCGCCTAAGTTACATGGGTGAAATTACTAGCGGTCGAACGACGCGCGTGGAAATTGAGTTGGTGTGCACAACGGCACTATTGCCCAAGAACAGCGTTATAGAGGCACGAGGTTCTCTTGGTGACGATCAGGTTCACCGAATCAACTTCTATTCAAGCGGTGTTTGCCCAAATTATCGAACTGACCCCGTAAGTATCTATAATATGTGTCAGTTTTTCCTTGATGTAGTGTTTTGGGGTATTATTACTTATTCACCCAGAAAATTACGCTTATTTTGTAAGAGTATATTATGTTGTTATTGTCTTTTGTTAAGTGCTTTTCACGGTTGTTGGGCGACCTGCATAGCAGCAGTTTATACAGGCTACGTCACTCCTCTTTTGATCGCAGCGCCAAGTTAGCCCCATGGAAGATATATTTCGTCGCACGAGTGAATCTATGTATTTCATAATATACCCGTAACTAATTGCATCACTACTCAATTTGATGACGCTTCCAGACAAACTGTGAAATCATCAATAGTGAAACTGGCTACGCGTACGACTTGCGACCACTCGTCCATACCGCTCTGTCAAACTGGGAAGCCAGTGAATATTCACCCATTTCGTACGATTACCAGCATTTGGCAAGTCCCGAACAGAAGTATCATTTCAATATATGCAAAAAGCTAAATACGGTTCCGCTCTCAGACGGTGGTTATAATTGTCCCAGAGGGTCGTACGCTTGTGCGACGTATACAAACGATAACAGTCGTATGGGAGAAAGTCTCGGCAGACACATGGACGATATTGTGTTTGGTGAAGATGGTACAATTGGCATACGTTACGTTGGAGGTGACAAGTGTCCACCGGAGGAGAATCGCGATGGAGAATTTCAGGCTGGCAACGGCACTCAAGGAGAGACTAACCCAAAATTCAAGTCAAGCCTTATAACCCTAGCCTGCACACCGAATGCTCATGAAATGCCCAAAATCATCAGGACGTAAGCTTTTATGTTCGCTTAATCATTTTCATAATGAATTCCTTTCTTAACCCTTCACTTTTTACTCTTCTAAAATCTCTCATGTACGCACGTAGATTCCAAAATATATAACACACCGTTTCCTTCAATTAGGTGCATCATGATTAGCCTTAGGCCTTACATGATAGGAACTAAATAACGAGAACTTAGTTACGGAGCGAATAAGCGCTTGAAAGGAACGAAAAAACATGCAGACAGCTTAGTGGTCGTTTGACGTGTTAATTATCAACATATATCACTTGCAATTTTTCGTATCTGATTTACGTGTTTTCAGCTCCAAGGACTGCGAATACGTCTTTTACATGGAAACTCCCGCTGCGTGCCCGGTCAAGAAGGCGGTGGGCTCCGACTGCAAAGTCACTGAACCTAACTTTGGATATCGATTCGATTTGAGCGCACTCGGTGGGAAGAGCAAGGTCTACACAGTAAACAATCCCGACGATAAAGGTATGCACAAGATGACCGTGTGTGGCGCACTCCCCGATGCCGGCGTTTTGTGTGGAGGCGACAATGAGGCCGGATCCTGTTTGATCGGCGCAAATGGCAAGAACATTTCACTGGGCAAGGGCACCGCTACGTTGCAATACAACACTGGCATCCTGACGCTCATCTACACGAACGGTGTAGTCGGTTGTACTGATTCCAAAAAGAATCGAAGCACAACGATCAATTTCCATTGCGATCACTCCGCCAAGGTAGGATCGACTGCACCGGAGTTTCAATCAATGGACGGCAACTGTGGTTTTGTCTTCAGCTGGTATACGGAATTAGCGTGTCCGCCGCGGACAGAACAAGTTTGTAAGGTGGACACCCCTGACGGCCTTGTTGATCTTTCGCCGCTGTCGGCGCCGCGGCGAAACTACGTTACGCCTGATAACATGATTGAGGTTGGTCAAAAGTATGTTGTTAACGTGTGCCGATCCGTTGTACATATGCGGGCTCTTGCTTGTGAATTCTCGTCAGGTGCGTGCATTATTAATGGTGATAAGACGGTGAACTTAGGCGTTGTTTCCCGCGGGCCATTCTACGTCAAAGATGAGCGTAAGTGGCTAAAAGATTTTTATCCATGCATTTTTTTTTTACTTTAACTAGGTTAGTCATGTTGCAATTTATTAACTAGCCAACTATAACCATGGTGATGCCGAATTGAATTGCCTACTTTGGCTTTACTCGAGTTGGATATAAACTTTCTAGATAGTTAACGGCTTGACCGACGGATTGATGAGCTGGAAAGAAATACAGCTGTTAAAAACAGCCCTTTATGGTTAAGCACTCAGAAGCTACTACTTTTGATTCCATTGGTCGAATTATCAGAAACCTACAAGGGAAAGAGTTAGTTCACTTCAAGGCCATGCTTGAGGGTTAACTGCTTCCATTTCCAGAGTTCGCTAAGCGCTTGTAATGGCTGATTTATTTCGGCGATAGTTTTGATGCTATGATAGTGACCATTAACACATGAAGTAGTAATGAAAGCTTAATGCAGCTCTAGTTAGCTTCACTCGAGCCGTAACGCGCGTCTTAGCATTAGTGTGTACATGACTTAGCCGAGACAAACAACGTTTACATAATTTTCGCGTAGCCTGTCTTCATTGTGTTGCTCTACGTATAATTAGGTAGACCAGTAAGCGCTCATTATTGTTACGTCTATTGTGCAGGTATCGTGCGCATCCAGTACCAGAACGGCGATTTGTGTACGACCAAATCGACACTGAGCTCTCAAAATCGTTGGTCGACAACGATTGATTTCGTGTGTCAGAGTAAAGACTCAGGGCCGGTGCACGTCAGTAACGACAATTGCAAGGCGATATTCTTCTGGAACACACCTCACGCATGCCCCCAAAGTCACGATCTGCAGCCTGCTAAGAATCACACGTGTGCAGCTGTACACCCATCTGCTGGCGGGCTCGTGATTGATCTACTTCCTCTGGTCCGAAGCGACAACGAATCCCCATACGCTGTGCCCGGTCCAGCGGGCTCCACGTACAAGTTAAATATTTGCGGCTCGGCAAGGGAGACATCGTGTGGTCCCCATACAGGCATCTGTTTAGAGAGCAGAACCGAATCTGCTAAAATCGTTGCACGGCCAAGTTCGCATCTGATCTGGGAAAATGGCGTGCTGGCAATGGTGTTCGAAGGTGGACAGAGTTGTGGTCTGGCCAACGAAGACCATTTGCGTAAAATGAAGGCGATCATTCATTTTGTGTGTCCGTCAGCGGGTTTCGGCCGCGACGCACCCATGTTTGTATCGCAGTCGCCCGATGATTGTGAACACCGCTTTGTTTGGCCAACGGAGCTGGTATGTCCCAACATTTTGCAATGCGCTTACTACCAGGACCAGGAATTTGATCTGTCGCCATTGTCGACTCGAAGTCATCGAGCACGCAATGTCTTGGATACCGGTTACGAATATTATTTAAGCGTATGTCGGCCCCTCGAACCGCAGCAACCCTATCTATCAATGCCGCCCAACGCCGCGATCGTCCGGGTGGCCGTAAACTCGAAGTCGAAGGTCGAAAGTCTTGGACACACGTTCTTCGGATCGTTCACACACTTCCAGCATTCAGTAACACTATTGTATGTGAACGGCAGCCGCTGTGAATGGGATAATACCCAGCTCTATAAGGCTCGGATCAGCTTCGAATGCGATTACTCGCAAGACGCTGGCGAACCGGTGTTAGTCGACATTGATCAGGCCGAATGCCTCCACGTATTCCGATGGAGGACCAATCTAGTGTGTGCGGGATCTGCAGATACCCATCAAATAAATCCACGCGGGAACTGCAGTTTCCCTGTGCCTCAACGAGGAATCACCCTTGATCTGTCATCGCTAGCTAAGAAGTCCCCGCATCAGGTATGTGTTTGATAGGCTTCTTCTTATCATAATGCCCGTAGTATACCTTTAAGCTTAAAGCTTTATGCCATTACGTTTATTGCGGACGTTATTGAAGACAAAAAAATAAATATCGATTTATAAAATACATACATAGAATTTCCAATTAGTGGATTTACTTTAATCACGTTAATTTTCAGCACGTTAGCTGCGTAAAACTCAGTCCTTTCCAGACGAATCGATTTCCAAATGTGTCCTCATGTCCTCTCACGCCGTTTAAATGCTCACTAAATTTCTGAAACACTTCTAGAAATTTACTTAGAAATTTTGGATCTACTTTTGAGTAAATACGCAATAACTCAAAGAAGATTAGAGGACTGACCGAGATATCTGCTAAATGCAAAATGTTCATTACTAGTACTTAAATGATGCTTGTTGCTTTTCTCTAATTAAGTTTTCAAATTAGACCTAGCCATATGAAATTGTTCCTATATAGTTTCGACGTCCGAATTATTCAAAGTATTATTTACGATCAGATAAGTAAATGTTACGTTTGCTAAGACCGTATTCTATAGGCATAAAGCTTACGAATATCTACTAACATATAGTGGTTGGTATGGATATGGGATGGTGGAGTATGATAAATGAAAATGAAGAAAAAAAAAATCTTAATTTTGCTTTTTCTTCGGTAATCTATGACAAGCGTCGCCTTTCGAACCTGTATGTTTTATGTCATCTTAGAATATAATAACTCCCAATGATAGTGAATGTAAGAACTGGTTTTTGAAGCTCTTGAACTGATATGATAGCTTACCGTCACTGAGTTCTACTTGCATTTCATTTGTGTTTATTCATCTTCAGTTAATTAAAGTCTGTTTACATAGCCCAAAATAAAATTCATTTATAACGCTAGCTGCATCGATAGATTTGTTAACGATGGAAATTTGCATCATCTGTGCGTATTATGTATGCTGCTGTCTGTCTCGTGCACAAATGAAGAGTTATCTGTTCATTTCGTTATTTTTTTAAAAATTTGTTCTCGGCTGTTGTGGTTTTTTGTCAATCTTATATTTTTGTGGAATTTCACTAATAAGGAGTAGATGCTGTGCTTATCAAACTCGTCTCCTTATGTACTATATTATATATATAAGAAATATATACTCTATTATATTGAAACGTTGATTTTTGCAGCGGTACAGTCAGTTGTATTAAAGACAAAAGCCATGTACATGTTATATCCCATTTATATTTTTACAGATCAGAGTAAATAGCCCGGATGGCGAAGAGTCGGGTTACTTCACAATGTCTGTTTGCAAAGATATGTCAGCGAGTATCAGTGGATGTAAAAACAGTGAACTCTGTTTCGCTTCGAAGGTCCAAGGCGGCATCAAAAACATCAGCTACGGTGTAGCTGAATCCTACCATTATCAGGGCGGAAGTCTATTTGTTCGTTACACCACTGGAGACAAATGTGTCAGCATGCTTGGCAAAACGTACGGTGCCATTGTGGAGTTCGAGTGCGATCCCCTCTATGACACAGGTAGTCCAGTTGTCGAGCGTCAGTATGGCTGCTTGACCGTGTTCCGATGGAAGACTGTTAAAGCGTGCAGTCCTCAGCAGCTTCAAGCAGCCGAAGGCCACGATTGTATCGTAAGGCGAGGCGCGTCCACGTTCGACCTCACCATGCTATCATCGGTGTCGCATGCCTGGAAACTGGAAGATCCTCAATCGCGCAGTACGTTTTATTTGAACATTTGTGGAATAAACCACAAGTGGCCGTTGGACGCGATTGATAAGTGCAGCAAAAGTGGTGTCTGTGTTGAGAAGAAAACGAACGACAATAAGGATGAATTCCAATCGCTTGGAGAGTATTCCTCAAGAGAAGTAGTGGTCGAGGACAGCTCAACGATAAGGATTACGTACAACGGTGGAGATCCATCGGTTTGTCCATTGAATGAGCAGCATCCAAAAAGCATCATAGTTATTAAATGTGATCTCGATGGAGATTCGATTGGGTCATTGAAATTCGTCTCCGGTCCCACGTCGAAATCGTGCACATACAAATTCGAATGGCCTACCCGATACGCCTGTCCTGAAGCCACAGATGTACTCGTCATGCAGAAGGGTGGCTACCTGATTGATCCAGCAATGCATCAAGCTTATAATCTTACCGCGCTTTTCAACCGAACATTTCGTACTTTCGAATATCGGTTAGGCCAGGATAACTATACTTATCTGGTGAACTTACGAGAGGTCTGCACAGAGAGTTCGTGCCGAATTCCCTGGCGAATGGGACCCTGTGCCCAAAGTGCTGTCTGCCAAGCCAAGCGCAGCACTTTCATGAAAAATATCGGTTCGGCAAACAAACAACGCTTCTACCTTCGAGGTTTCGAATTGTTACTTGTTATAGACACACTCGCCACCTGTCTCCACGTACCAAACTCAACGATCAAGAGTATATTTACTTTTGCCTGCGACCACGAGGCCGGAATTGGAGTCCCGGTTAGTTACCTTGATTTAGATTAGCATCGAATCAAATACATGTAGGATTATATACAAGCGTCAAAAACGAAACGGGTTAGGAGCTTAAGGAAACAGAAATGCAGATTCAGGACTACCTATGCACATTTAGGCTGCATCAATACCTTCTCGACAATTAAACAATATTTTCTGAATTTTAATTTTCTGATTTCTTTTGAAAATAATATTACTCTTCTTTGTGTGACGTTTGGCTAATTTTCAGTCGTTCCTTTATGAAACTAAATCATGTCATTACATCTTCTCATGGCCGACGGAGTACGTCTGTCCGTCACGGGTGGAACATCCTACTATGGCCTGGTCCCACATGGGTACTGGTGAAGCAAACGGTGATGGTTCTCCTATGGGCATTGTCATTATTTTGAGTGCCCTAGCGGTTACACTAGCTGGAGTATTTATGTTTCTGTCTAAGCCTGACAACCGGATGGCGGTTAGAGCTCGTGTCCTGCGGATTTTCCGGACCGTTACCATGCCGCATTATTACTACTCCAAGGCGAGACATTTAATCTTAAGAGAGTACTGAAGCTTGACGTAGTTGAGAACTACATATGTCATGCACATAGATAATTATATATATGAATGTATAACAAATAACAATGCATCGCTAATGCTGTTTTATTAAGACGGCAATATTATTTTACTGTTAAAATTGATATTTGCTTTACATGGTTGATACAGTCATCTCAATGTATGTGGGAACTTTCACATGAAACTAATGCTCACATGCTGAGTTCATAAACCATTTTCAATTGTTCATTGGAACTCATCTATCTCTCACCCCCTGGTCATATTTGCCGCTTTATCTAAATCATCGACGGATGACGATCCGAAGGAATTGCATCGGATAGACGATATTTAAAGTCGTAGCATTGTGCAGGGGTGCCTAGAGATTTTGTCTTCAATATGCCTAGCTTAAGATCAATCAATGCTGCGAAATGGCGCTATCAATGAAGTGGAACAGCAGCTACAAAATGAAATACGATAGATTTACATCATAAATACATTATTTCGACGGGTACCCTCCTTAAATATCTACGCTGATATTCGAATTAATTCCCTGTCATTTAATACTCAGTGTCCGAATGTGTCTATGGTTGAGCGTAAACACATGAGCAATTAAGCGGGAAGTACCAACGGTGTTTTTTTTCTTCCGAATCTATCATCGTTGTTACAAAATACGGTGAGTAGAAAAAAGGAACAATTTAACCTATGGGCAAGGTATACACAGACTTTGCATTGACCGAGCACTATTCTAAGCGCAGACTTCGACTCATTATATGACTAACTAAGGCAAAGTCAATCGATTATCTCAGCAGAGCCCTAAAATTACTTTGGATCAGCTGTATGTATGACTCTGAACAGCATTTTAGAATTTCAAAATACCGTAACGGGGTGCAAATTAAGTGATACTGCATTACCGCCTTATTATTCTTGATTGATGTATTTAGCTTCGCATGCATCTAGGACAGCACCGGCTCTTGGAAAATGATGCATCAAAATGATTCATTCCATCTCAGGCCCTGTACAAATGGTCTGTCCTTTCAGATATTGACCGTCCACATATAAAATATTAAAATATTGGTATGCATATATCAATGTATTCTCATTCAACCGGCTACGCATCGACAAGACTGCTTCCCAATTCCAGCAATTAAATCATATAGCACAAAGCGATTTTACGTTATCCTTCGTTAACAATTCCCTACTGTAAATTAGTGCTCTCATTAGAAATGGTTTTTGTAAATGAAGCAATTCAAAAATGTCTTTGAAACTGTTAAAACTCCTCCCTGTTTCTGCCGCAAGACGTTTCAAGTGATTTCTCGATTACATTAAGGAGATAGAGTGGAAATTAACTGACGAGCTTTTAATTTATCGTCCTCCTAGTCTTTCGTATTAAAGTAATTCTCATTATCTTTCCGATATTAGTATGAGTGTCTGAGCTAAACACGATGCACGTTTTCTAAGTGACGATCAAAAGATGCTAGAAAAATTCGATAGAAAATGTCATAAGGGTGTGCGCGTTTCAAAAGCCCTACACATCTAGTATTTAAGCTCAGGCGAGGTTCAAATATAGCCCATGGAACTTCAAAGTATCTAGCACATATGCCTCGGGTTGCCTTCCTTCGGCAGATATTCGCAGATAAGCTAGCCAACACAACGTTCTAATCTCTTTATATCCTTTCTGTTTTCCTTTTACAGACGGAGTCGGAGATGCAAAGTCCTTTGGATACTGATGGGGACACGGTGTTGCTTAGTCCATCGCTCGTACTACAACCGGACGACGACGACTTTTCCTCGCCGCTCGCTTAAGCGGTTGAGTTGGGTGCCTATGATATATATCTTCCATATATATGAATGTATGTAAAGAGGAAGCAAGCAGAAATCGTTATAATTACTCCACATAGCTCGACTCGTTTTCCTGTCTTCTGTCTGAGCTCCGTTCGACCAGCGGGCTCTTTCAACCTTCTTTCAACGTCGACTTGAACGTGTCCGATAAACCTGGCATCAAAAGGACGTGTGCAACAGCGCGTACGACCTATTCAAGTTTCCCCGCTGGCATGTTTTTCCAAGCTGTGACGGAGTCTCTGAGAAGCTTTGTTCGCCGAACACCTAGTCGTGCACAACATTAGCTTGTGCTAAGTTAGAACAAGAGGAATGCACCGACCAAATGCAAGTAGGGAAATAAACTAAGCAATTGTTCCTCATCATGTCAAGGCCATCTATTTTGTAGTTGAAGGTCATTTTTTTGTACGGTCTTTTTTCTGTGGCACCTTTTTCGATCATAGTGAAATGGATGCGCTCGTTGTTGAGACCTTTACGCGCCAAAACAGGTATCATAAGTAGCAGTTTTATATTCTATGGCATTTAATATAGACACTAACCACGCCACTATTGTAGTCTCAAGGGAGCTGTAAATTCTTTTCATGTATTCCGCTAACTCATAGGAATAGTTCGAAGAGCTTTTATCCTCATTAATGCGTCAATTAGTTCTGGTTTGATGAAACTGTTCAGTATGCGGCTCCCATTCGTCATTTTTACCGCTAAAAGCTCTAAATATTCTAAGCTAAATAGCAGACTTCATTAGAAGCGCCTAGCTCATTTGTTTCTACAGTCAGCGCGGCCTTGAGGTTATCAACGTGTAACGGTGAAATAGTATTCATTTTGTAGTCCTTGGAAATCGTGTTTTTTTTTTACACATACACATATATGAAAGTTTGAGACAGCTTTTTATTACTTCTGATAGTATTTTTTTTCTCTTCACTTTAGTCATTCTCAGAATGTCCGCGTTGTATATGCTTAGTGTTACTGTCTACCACGCAGTCAATCATCGTATAGTAAATGAATTGTATTTTATATAATTTTGGATTAAAAAGGATTTTGTCTGCGCGCATCGCTAAGATGAACTAAAAACCAAAAAGTACACCGATATATAGCGGTGTTGAAAGATTTGTTTTGTCAATCCGTCAACCAATGTGGAGAGCATAGTTAAAGACCAGCAATTGTCCCAGTAAAAATAGTCCCTTTCTACTTTTTTTTTTTTGCTGAAAAAAGTTGCTTTTGTTTTCTGAGAGAAAGACGGCCGAATTGGGGGCCGGTACTAAAGCAAGTAAAATCAAGGATCGAACGGGATTCACCTAATGTCTGACGGTGATAAAACTTCAGTAGTCATTATTATTAGTTAAGTGGCAAGTGAAACGCACGCAAGTAAAAAAATAATGCATGATGAAATAACTATATACGTAAAAAAGAAGATAGCGAGAAATGAGGAAAGATAAAATAAAGCGGAGACGAACTTTTAACTAGTGAAGATAACGGGAGAGCTAGAAACAAGGTACTATTAACGAAAAAACAATAGGCATTTATCTGTGATGATGGGTCGGCTAAGTGTTTCGACATGTTTGAGCCGCACACGCTGTTGCCGAGGGGCTAAACTCACCAATCATTTATCTGAGCAACGTTCCACTAATGCTTTCCGACTCATTAATATAATACTGCACTGAATTCGCGCATTCAACGTCAACGGCGCATATATACACGCGAACATAATTATATAGACGCGGGATTGAGCTGACTATATCGTTCATCTGCCTCATGCGAGTTGCTGTTTTACGTTTTAAGGCGAGGAGAATTTCGTTACTTAGGTTTTTAGCCATTTTGCGAACCAAGTTGTTTAGGTGCAATCCGCCGTTTTGCCTACGACTTGTCTTCTTTGATATAGGTGTTCGCAACAGTATTTAGGATGAGTGCGGAAAATATGGTCTATATTTTCCATTTTACATAATCCAGGAGCTAACGAGGCACAGTGAAGGAAAAGCTGCGAACGTCAATAAGAATCAGCATTCATATATATACTAATTGTTTTTTTGTCGTTATACGAGACTGCATCTTGCTGAAATGCAGCGTCGCAATGTGTGAGTTGCGTGTGTTCATCTATCTACGCATAGCGAGCTGTCCGAAGTAAGAGCAGTATGCATAGAAAATTCAATGACATATCTAATAATTGCCGTGAGCTCAGAGTTCCTTTCATGCTTGCCCCCGAAGAGGGAAGCCAGTCAAAGCAACCGCTATAGCCAGCCACCAGAGCATGCGTTTAAGTGTATCTATGTTTAATTCAGACACAGACGTTTTTGCCTAGGTCTACGATCACTGTTATCACATGTAAGTAAGCAAATATCTTATTTACCCCATTCCGTGAGTACTCCTAAATATTCCTTATGCACACTGATGTCTATCTTTGCTGAACTATTAATTTTACCGTTACTCATAAGCGTCTGTACATAAAACAACACCCTCATGTCCTTTACGCCCGATCCTTCTTAACCACTTATGCGAGAGCACTTAAGTTTCAAAAGTTCGTTTCCTATGAAAATGTAACGAATCAATGAAGGTTATTACCCAGGGAAGCAGAAGGTGGCATCTTACCTCCCACGCCACCGTAAGTATACGGTCGGCGCAATCGACTTCAAGCCGGCGTAGCATCGCTGTGCATCGCCCTTTGCACTAAACAGCAAAAAAAAACAACTTCCTTTTTTTATTAATGAAGTAAACAACAAAACAACCCATTCATTCATGCGCATACTGTTTTTGCTATCTACAGGCATAAAATACACTTACGTGCGCACACGAAACTTACTTCTGCCGTACGAAGCATTCCTATTACATTTTTATTATATACATATATAACACAGATATCAACGAGACAGATATGGATTGCATGTGAGCGCCGGAGAGGCCCTGAGCGCTCACTCGATTGGGCATTATCCGCGGCCCTTAAGCTCGCAAGAAAATTTTAGGCCAGAAGTACGTCGGTGTGCGTGTGCGTGTGTATGTGCAGGAATCTGTGTGTTGTACATAAGGTTTGGTCTAACGATCACGCGATGAGCAGATATGCATCTCTTCTAGCATAAGCAAAGCTACCAATGTACGTTGTATATAGATGTACAGAGAATAATAAACAAGTGAAACATGAATGGTACTTATTACAAATAACGAAAACAAACAAAGGTGGCAAATCATGCAGACAATAGAGAGAAGGGGCGCACATAGATATGTTAAGGTGAGCGCTAACAATGATCGAAATTATTTATACGAGATAGAGAAACAAAAAGGTGTTAAAGGTAGGAGACGGAAGGCAACCTAATCAGTAGACGAAAAAATGTGAGCATGTATATCTATATGTTAATTTCAGCTTGAACTTACTTAGTTTATTTTCAAATGTGCTGCTATCTATACGGGGACAATTTTAGGAATGTAATACAAATGTTGTATCCTTCTCTTTCGACTATTCGAAACAATTATTTGCTGTCCGGTTACTCGTCTGTAGCAGCAAGCTGATGATTCAATATATTGATATGTATAACGAAAGCTGATCGATTGATAGAGCCACGAACGTTAACGGCCTTTCAATAGTTCGGGGCTTCTTTTGGTCGGAAAAAGAAATATGCGGTTTGGGATCGTTATTCTGATGTTGGCGAGCACGAAAAAAAGGGTCCAAAAATGGTCGAAACGAGGAAAGCTGAAACCTGTGGAATATTTCGTGCTTGAATAAAAAAGATGGTAATAACGCAAAAAAATGTCAATGGCTGAGTTACTGTGTAAAAGCCACGATTACGAATCGTCAGTTCCGCAGACATATATTCAAAACACATTCTGTACTGAAATAAAATAGCGGTGATGGAAACATAAAGTAGACCGGAAATTTTCATAATTTTCAGAGCCTAAAAAAATCAAACGAAACTTAACAAGAGATAATAAAGCCCTAATAACAATGATGGATGGAAGAAAGCTTTGTCTTATTATAATGTACGCGTATACCAGTCTAATTGTTATCGTTGTTGTTAGAGATAGATAGACCGATAAGGTAGGTCAATTGTTTTTTATATAATTACCAATTTTCGATATATTCGGCCGCACATTTCATAATTATGTTATATGTGCGTTATCAATTGCTTCAGGTTTTTGTTGTTAAAAAAAAATACAGTAGAACTATTTTCCCAATCTTCAATATTTATTTAACAGCCACTGGATAACGACTTGAGGAATAATAACCATATTGTACCTTCTCAGCTCTACTTAATACACATCACTACATTTATGGGTCGCTACTACGCTTGTTGCAGTTCAAGTCCTGCCACAGGCCACGGATGAGCCTATACGCATGTTCCGCCTAGTAAGATCTGTTATTTAAGTACAAATCTATTAAACATTATTTTTTAGTTTTTTTTTTGTTTTACTGAATACGTGTTAGCTCCATTAGCAGTATATTTTTACTCGATTATGAAGGCAGTCCTTGTACAAAACTTACAACTGTTCTTATTAATGGCTGTCTACTTCTTTTGAAAGAACAACGAAATAAGATCTACCGTAAAATGCAGCACTATCAAGTAATAAAATCAATAATAATGTTTGTTTTTAGTTTTAAAAAGAATGCTGCTTTTTCCAATAGGTACATACAAATCAAACATCGTGGGAACAGATGATACTCGAAATTAGTGCGTGACACCAGGACCGAAATAAATATTACAATCGTATAGGTATTATGGATGTTTAAGAGATGAAAAAAAGTAGGACATCTTCATTAACTACAAGAAAGACGCAATTCGTGGGCGAAATGTGCCACGTGCCTCCACCTTGTTACTACGAAGCTGTAGACTGTTATGACTGGCTCTCGATATGCGCCATTACCTATTTCAACAACGGACCGATCGTCGAAGAAGTCCGTAGGACTAATATGATAATTCGACTATTAACTACCATAGTCATTATGACCATTGTAAACGGAGCAGTACATAAAACTAACAAATGCATATATTCGTAAACAGAAACAATCCGATATGGCATAGTAAAGATCTGAAAGTACATACGTAACAGCGAAACTGTGTGAACGAAGTTCTACAATATTTCTTTTCCTTTTGATAATATGCACTCTTGCTTTCTGTTCGTAAACATTGTGTAGAGCGCCCTTAGCAAGCCATTCCCCTAATATATGTCATTTTTCCAGAAAAGCTTCCTGTGGTTTACAAAGAGTTTTATTTTGACCATATTATGTCACTCCTTAGTTTGTCGTTTTAAACATTTTTGTAAAAAGTCTGGAAAATAAGACGAATTACCAGGCTTTGACATACCCTATCATGACCTCTGTAGGTAATTGGTGACGCATGTTTTTTTTCACTGCGATCAATTTTTACATGAAACATTGAAAGGGTGTATAGTAAAAGCAATCATCAATCCTATTCTGACAAGGTTTGAGGTGGACTAAAAAAGGCAACGGTCTCGCCTAAGAACCACTGGCCAATTTTTGGTATAAATATGCGAAGGAGTGGCCCAGTTTTACTAACACAAGTAGCAAAAATAAATTATAATCTAGAATGGCTAAGTTGCCCGATAAGAAAAAATACTTCATAGTTATTTAACAGTGTGTGAGAAACTCAAATCTCGTTACAAGCTGCGCAGATAAAATAAATACAGGCAGAAAAAATAACGGAGTATTATTTTACGTTTTCAGTAATTTAGAATAACAATTGTTAACGCCAGTACAAAATAATGCCTTAATGCTATCGCTTGCTCACATTTCTTCAAACGCACTTCACATAATTTCACGGGAAACCTGACAGATAACTTTTATAAGTTTTTAGCTTGGATACTAAGTAATGCTAGGATACTACACTAAGTAATACAATTTGGTGAGCAACACATTCGTCTATGTTTTGTAGTAGCTTTTAAAGGAGCCCAAATGAAAGATAAAACACAGACAAGTAGTTAATCGAGAAATTATGGGAAACCAAATTAGTCCGCATGATTTTGGTATTAGTATATTTTTGGAATGATCCTCGTTTTTAGTCCTCGGTTGTCAATGACAGTTTCCGCCGTAGAAATTCCCCCATACACGCTAAGACGACATGTGCGCTATATAAAGAAATACTGTTCAGCATAACTTTCAACAAAAATTAGGCTAGAAGCTTAAGGTTGCGCTGACATTTCGATATGTGGAGCGATGCCACGACGAAATAAGTACGTCTTTATGCTGCCGGGGTTTACAGTGATACTATGAAGCCTTCTACAGTGTCCTGAGAAGAAACAAGTTCGTCCATTTTAGGTTTATCTATCTTAATGATGTTACCTCGCCCATTAAGTCCTTAGCTAAATTTTCTTTTCAATCACTTCAATCAATCTAAATCTATTAGAAGTTTCTGAAAATCAACAACATAGATTAGGACTGATAGACTGGTACATTACAAAAGTAATTGCATATATAATTGAAAATATTGTAACAAAATCTTTAAATACAGGCCGTTTCATAAAGCACCGGTTACATAACGGTCAAACAAAAGGATCGAACGGCAGGAACACTCTTTAGTTTGCAATTGAGCGATCATAATATGAAGACAATCCTGCTAGATCATTCGTCCATCAGCAGATATTAGAGAAGAAAAGAATGAACAACGATTGGGCTGGAGAGAACCGTAGTATTTGCGCCATTATATCCAGATGACCATTACATTTGTCCAATGTGCTAATTGAATTACTCCTGTCTAAATTATTTTTTAAAATCTTTTCAAAAATCATTTTGAGCCATTCTTGTTAACTTATTGGGGTCTTGGAACCATAGGGTTTTCTTCTAATCCCACAGGGTGCATAAACTTGGCGCTTGCGACCTTATTCAATACGTACAAGATTTTTTTTTAGCTTTATATACGACTTCTATGATTTGCAATGAAACGTATATCTGAGTTTGGTATTTAACCGACGTATTATGACAAATCCCCGTTAAGCATACATTGATTCCCAAAAATTTCAAAATACGATCACGCAAAAAGCTTTCGAGCACCTTTGTTTGACCATCCGACGTATGGAGCTGGGAAAAAATAAGCATTATGCTACTAAATCGGCCTCCGATTTTTGTACTATTCTGTCTCAAATATTTTGAAATAGTTTCAGACATCTGTTGGCATATCCTGCACTTTCTAACGATAAATAGGTTATCTAAACTACCTATGCCCACTCTAGCATATCAAAAGCTAACAAGTTCGTTCGCAGGGACATAGTATAAGACGTGAATATAGATAATATAGGACAACGATGTTCCACGCCTGCTTCAAACAGCCTTTTTTGAACAGTCTCTTCATCGTTACAAGGCAGATCCTTCTGAGATAAAACCAGCTTCCTGCTCGTGGTAATTTCTAGGATCGGTGTAAATTGCTTACAATAGTAAAGCGCTTACCCTGAGCATAATACAAATGATTACATATCGAAATTCGAACAGTAATGTACTGGCTTTCGCACAACCTCTAAAAAAAAAAAGGATCTTAGAGAGTTATCTTTCATTAATCACTAAATATGATATTTATGCGACGATATATATTCACACGGCTCCAAATACAGTAAGGCAGCTCGTACATTACCTACAATTATTTTATTTTATTACCTACAATATAGAACTTAACTCAGGTTTTTAACTTTCTTAGGTTTATAAGCATTAGAAGCTATTTGTTGAGCTGAATTATTATGAGGTTGCATACGGTTTAATCTGTTTTTTGTTACTGTAACTTTTGAATTTTCACATTACTTAAATGTTTACCATCTGCAAGTATACTGTTTGTTCTTATTTGTCTCTCTCACGCTAAATGTATCTTTAAGGAGACCACACCTTCTTTATCAGTCCGTTGCATAATCTATGTTTTAGGTCGATCATGTCTCTAATGAATTGTATTTATTGAAAAGAATAGATAAGTCTGAGAGTGCCTGCGGTGTGCCGGTCGTTTAAGGAAACGTTTAACGGCATTACCGGCCGTAAAACTCACAAAATATATTAGGGTAGAGGGACCAGCTCTGATACAATGCGCAGTCTGCAGTTCTGGCCGAAAAGCTCGAAACTTGCTTATCTTAACGCGAATGAATCAGCTAGTGCGAAGCAAAATTCTAATTGAACTTTTTCTCTAGACGACGGTTGGC